CCCCCCCCGACCGCGAGCACCCCCCCCGGCCCCGGCGGGACCCTGCGGCCTACCGCGCTGTCGCCATGGCGACGGCACGCCGGAAGTGGCTCTACCGCCAAATCCCTCCCCACCCGGCTCATCCACTTCCGGTCCGTCCCCAGTGAGGTCCGGCCGCCCCCCGTGACCCCGCGGGTGGTTCCGGGGCGGGCGGAGTCTGCGGCCATGGCGGCGCCGGGGCCGAGCGGGAGCAGCTGCCGGGTCAGGGCCCCTTGCACGGGAGCTTTGGGGGTGCAGAGCTCTTTGCAGGGGGGTGGGTGGGTATTTAAGGCCCCTTGGGGGGGAGTTTTGGGGGTTCAGGGCCCAGGGTCCAGGGTTTGGGGGTGCAGGGTCCTTTACACGGGAGTTTTGGGGGTGCAGGGCCCCTTGCAGGGGAGTTTTAGGGGTGCAGAGTCCCTTGCAGGGGAGTTTCAGGTGTTTAAGGCCCCCTGCACAGGAGTTTTAGGGGTGCAGGCCCCGGGTACCCACATTTGGGGGTGCAGGGCCCTTTGCAGGGGAGTTTTGGGGGTGCAGGGCCCTGGTTACAGGAGTTTTGGGGGTGCAGGGTCCTTTACACGGGAGTTTTGGGGGTGCAGGGCCCCTTGCAGGGGAGTTTTAGGGGTGCAGGCCCCGGGTACCCACATTTGGGGGTGCAGAGCCTTTTGCAGGGGAGTTTTGGGGGTGCAGGGCCCTGGTTACAGGAGTTTTGGGGGTGCAGGGCCCTGGTTACAGGAGTTTTGGGGGTACAGAGCCCTCATTACATGAGTTTTGGGGTTGCAGGGCCCTTTTCAGGGGAGTTTCAGGTGTTTAAGGCCCCCTGCACAGGAGTTTTGGGGGTGCAGAGCCCTGGTTATGGGAGTTTTGGGGGTGCAGGGCCCCGGGTACCCACGTTTGGGGGTGCAGGGCCCCTTGCAGGGGAGTTTCGGGTGTTTAAGACCCCCTGCACAGGAGTTTTGGGGGTGCAGGGCCCCTAGCATGGGAATTTTGGGTGTTTAATGCCCCTTGCACAGGAGTTTTGGGGGTGCAGGGCCCCTAGCATGGGAATTTTGGGTGTTTAATGCCCCTTGCACAGGAGTTTTGGGGGTGCAGGGCCCCTAGCATGGGAATTTTGGGTGTTTAAGGCCCCTTGCACAGGAGTTTTGGGGGTGCAGGG